AACATTGAAGGTAATATAAGTTTCCTATATGACATAGGAATGTAAAAATTCCAAACCGGATCGTCATACTTTGGTATCTGACATAGCTTATAAAGCAGCTTAACCCAACCCCAAATTAAACATTATAATTAACTCAAATAGCATCTAAAATATGAACGCACCACTTTAAAAAAATATTAAATAAAAATTATTTGATGTTCCTCTAAATAAATAGTCAACCAAATACATCATCCAATATTTATGGAACATAGGTGACAACGGATAATATTAAATTAATTTTAAAAAATAAACGAAAAACCATGAGTTCCACATAGGAATTTTTACCTCCTATAGCAAAGGTTGATACCTTATTTATTTTAAATAAATACCCTTTTTTAAAATTATATTTCATAGCTACCTTTGATTTTTATAGCCAAATATCTATTTATGCTCACCTCCTACCCTTAAGCCATAAAATATGCTTTGTATTATTTTTCTCTCTCATTTTTTCAGATTTTTCTCCACCCTCTCTCTCTCAACGCCAGTCTTTCTCGATGAATACAACCACGATTCTCCACTGATTTATCTCCATTGTCTCGCAAAATTTTCATTGTCTGTGGGCTGGGGCTCTGAATCAATGTCGAAATCAAGCCCTAGGGAGAAAGATGGAGGTTCGAAATCTGCTATTGAAAGGTAAATAGAGGGAAATTTTTGAGGGGTTGTATATTTGAAATATGAATTGGAGGGATTTGCAAATGAAAGTATAGTAAATTTTGGGAGAATTTCTTTCGTTTTTGCGCCAAATTTTGAGAGTTTCGAGTCAGAATCGCGGCCCTCTTGACGAGACGACATTAGGGTTGTTCTTGAACAAAGACAACGGAGTTTGGGGCTGAGCAACTTAAAGAGTCTGTTACCTTTTTTTCCATTGTATTTCAATGTATCTCGATGTATTTCATTGTATTCACTGTCTCCCTATATTCCATGAATGTATTTATATTTTTTTTTTAATTACTATAGTTTATGTATTATGTATATATGTATTCAAATGTATCTTGTAGTATGTATTCATATATTTTTGCAGTATAGATGACCTACTATAATTCATGTATTCAATGTATTTTTATGTATTTAACTGTATTCAATGTAATTATATAATTTCAATATATAAATCTATTTGTAAAGATACCACTAGAAAATATTTTAGTAAAGATACCACTAAAAAAAGAAATGATGGATTGAATCTCTGAAGATTGCTCTGTTTTAGGGGTGTTTTTCGGTTGAGAATCTTTTTTATAACTGGAAATACAATTTTTGTGTTTTATAATTGAGTTTGTTGAGTTATATTAGGAGTCTATTGTGTTAATTGATTCACTTTCCGTTTAAAAACAGCTGAATAGACTATGATTTACGCTATTTACGTTACTGTATTCACAAATACATATCGTGAATACGGTTGAATATGATAATTGCCTAGCTGTACTCCCTGTTTCACGCCGAGTTTTGCTACTGTATTCACGAATACAGTTGCTTAAATACATCGAATACACTCTAAAAAAACTAAAAACATAACTATAGGAAGTAATATAGTAAATGATAGCTACAGCTAACTAATAATCACTAAACAATAGTGGTTTATGAAAATTTCTCTTTAACATATACCATAAACTAAAAATACCTTATAAAATTGTCCCTACAAATAGCTGCCCAACAAACCATTCAAACTAAAAATAGCCCACATATGTCTTGTATATACATATATATAATCTATGTACTATATAAAATTCGGGTACAACTTATAAATAACATCTAAAAAAAAGCAAACAATGAATTAACTCAGCTATTTACGTAAAGATCTATAAAACTAGCTAACATATTACAGTAAAACAAACTTGTATTGAACGCCGTTCATGTAGAAATACTCACCATACGATTCATCGAAATTGCATTTGCATTTAGAAAATTGATGATAGACTATAATTGTATATTTTAGTCACTTATTATATTCTAATTTATTGCACTTTAATTGAGTTTGAGTTTTAATCTCTAGTGTTTTGCACTAATTCTGCATTTTATGCCTTGTAGGAGTGATTCCGAGCTATGTAGATATTATGAAATGAATTCAAGTGATTTGAAATTTTGAAGGCTGAGTAAAAGCCAAGGAATTGGGCCGGGATCATATTCGGGAATCAACAGATGATAGTTAAGAACGAAACGAAGAATCGAGCGGGCATACGGCGCATTTTCTAGTAAAATGCACATAACTTTTCGCTCAGAACTCCGTTTGGGCTCCACAATATATCGTTGGAAAGCTATTTGAAAGGGCTACAACTTTCATGTTTTGCATTTTTGCTAATTCCCACTACCGAGCCGCACACTGCGCCGCATCTGTGCAATTTTCCAACAGTCCGTCAGAAAACAGCTCTCTGAACTTCCCCACAAGTGCACTGCACTGTGCGTCGCAGCGTGCGATGCACCTGCAAATTATACAAAGCCAGATTCCTATTTCGCGCAGGAAAAGGTGTTTCGTCTGGGCCCGATCCTACTTGGTATAAATACATGTAAAAATGCTATTTTGAGGAAGGGGGACATACTTTTGACATAATTTAGACCTAAGGAGGCTAAAGAAATCGAGATTCGACCTATGAAAGCAAGAACACACTGGGAGCAAGGCGGAGAATTCTTCTACGAGTTTTTCACTTCCTTCTTCCTATTTTCATTATTGGTTATGAATTCTATTATTATGAATAGCTAATTTGTTATCTAGGGTTTTGATGGAACCTTTTGGAGGATGATTTTTCTGTTAATATAGATTTGCCGTAGTATTTACTCTATTTGTTCAACTATATTGTGATTGTTGTTGGTTGAAGGGCCCTCAATCGACTGTGCCTATTTAGTATGTCTTACTCGGGAGAGAGTACATATTAGGTAGTTGTTGAACAATATCACTCCTAACGTATATGAGAGATCAATACGGAGGGTTTAAAGGTGGGATTAGGATAACGAAACCCTGAGTGCGATCCGAGTGAGCCGTACTTAATGTCAGCTAGCGTAATTCGGAAAAATATGTCTAATAAATTGGGGTAGTTACTTGGGAGAGAATTACAACACGCAGAGCGCTCATGATAGATAGAGGATACTTAGGCGAATTTATAGAAAACGTAGCGGAAAGGATTCCGACTATAGGGAAAATCATAACTCTAGACCTCCTTAGTCTTGTCTCTAAGACTTAGTATCTTTAGTTGTTAATTTACTATTTTAATTTATTAGTTAATTAGTTAAACACAAAAATCTTAATATCTATAAGCTTGTCTTCTTGGTGATTGATCACGTCCAACTATGCCTTATAAAAAGGACAATGCGGTCGCTGCAAATATAATCCGGTTTACAAGTCCGGAGTCGAATCCCACAGAGAACTAAGGTTTAGCTACAGTTGTTCACTATCACCAAGAAGACAAGGTTGAACAATTCCTAACTTATAGATATTAAGATTCTTGTGTTTAACTAATTAACTAACAAATTAAAATAGTAAATTAACAACTAATGACACTGAGGGTTAGAGAAAAGATTAAGGAGGTCTAGAGTTATGATTTCCACAATTTTCGGAATCCTTCCCGCTATGTCTTCTATAATTTCGCCTAAATATTCTCTACCGATCATGAGCACTCTTATTACCGTAAATCTCTCCCGAGTAATTACGACAATTTACTAGACGCACTTTCCCGAGCTACGCTAGCTGGCTTTTAATACAACTCACTTCAGATCGCACCCAAGGCTTCGTTATCCCTAATCCCACCTTTAAACCCTCGGTTATTGATCCCTCATATACTTTGGGAGTGGTGTTGTTCAACAATTACCTAAATATGCACTCTCTCCCGAGTTATGCATATTAAATAGGCACAGCTAATTGAGAGCTCTTCAACCAACCACAATATAAACGTAGTTGAATAAATAGAGAAAAGCTATGGCTAAATTATATAAAAACATAACAAGAATTTATCCTACAAAAGGTTCTATCAAAACTCTAGATAACAAATTAACTATTCATAATAGTATGTAAAACTACAATACTAAAAGTCATAACCAACAATGAAAAAAATAGGAAGAGGAAGGAAAAAACTCGTAGAAGAATTCTCTGCCTTGCTCCCAATGTGTTCTTGCCTCCAAGGGTGTTGTCTAACCCTAAAGTAGTGTCTCCTGCCTCCTTAGGTCTAATTTGTGTCCAAAATATGTCCCCTTCTTGTTCTTGGCCGGCCTCCTTTGTTTAATATAGGGTTTAAGACTTAAAATCCCATGTTTTGCACTTTAGTCCCTGAAATTTTCGCTTCCTGCCGCGGTCCCACCGCGGTCGCGGTCAAACCGCGGCCAAACATACTCTCTGATTCTTCAGTTGTCCGCGAGTACTCTGCCGCGGTTCTGCCGCGGTCGCGGTGGAACCGCGACTTTTCACCCTGTTCCATTTGGAATTTGGAAAAACGTAAAACATGAAAGTTGTAGCCCTTTAAGTTAGCTTTCCAACCATATATTGTGGAGCCCAAATGGAGTTCTGAGCAAAAAGTTATGTCTATTTTACTAGACAGTGCGCAATATGCCTCCTCAAGTCTTCGTTCGTACTTAATTATCAAATTCGACCGCCGAACACGATCCCGGCTTAATTTCTTGAGCTTTTACTCAGACCTCAAAGCTTCAAATCACTCATTCCATAACATCTATATAGCTCGGAATCACACCTACAAGGCATAAAACACACAATTAATGCAAAACACTAGCGATTAAAGCGCAAACTCAATTAAAGTGCAGTAAATAACGATTAAAATATGCAATTATAGCCTATCATCAGTGATATTGAACAATTGTAATTAAACCGTGGGATGAGCTGGGCCTGGAAAAGAAAACTTAAAGAGAACGCATTTACTTGATGAGTTTATCAAACTAAGGTGGTATATGTTGTCGAACACTCATTTACAATATGGTAGCAATATGAGTTACTTCATTTAGAGCTAATTAGGAATCATTAAAGCGCATCAAATTAGATATAAATACGCTTATTTAAACCAATAACAGCGGAACTTCAGAATTTACAAAACCATCGTACTTCAAACTGCCAAGATTGACACATTGGTTGCTCCATTACATCCCACTATTTTTGGAGCTAAAACTTTTAAAACCACTACAAAGAAAATTGTAAAAAAAAAAAAAAAGATAAGACACAAAAACGAAGATCTCACTCCTTGTTATGTTTGTGTTTCCCTATGCCTTTCCCTTTAACACAAGATTTAACAAAGCTTTTCAGACCCTTCTTATAAGGTGACTTGTTCTTCTCCTCTTTAACAACATTTTCCTCTTTTTTCTTCTTCATTGCCTCCTCAATACCAACATTCTCTTCTCTCTTCTTCTTCACAATCTCCAACTCTGCTTCTAACTGCAGACACATATTCAACACCCTGTTTTCTACATTCACCAGCCTCTCAATGAGCGTTCCCTTGTGCTCCGTCTCTGTAATCACGTCGTCTATGGGGCGGCAATGCTTCTCCATGCTTCTTGGTGAGAAATCGAGGGACGAAGCTTGCCCGTCGCTCGTTAGTGTCTCGCTTGACGCCGTTGAAGTCTTTGGGGAATGGTCACCTCCTCTAACTTCCTCCAATTTCTTGAGCTGAATGCATATATAAATATATCAGAAACCAAATAATTTTTGCACGGCCATTTTTTTCTATTCAAATTGTAAATGGCTACCTTCACCCATTTCCTCCAAGTTACCGTAAAAAAAAATTCACAATTCTCATTCATAATTAAGCATTAAGCGATATTACTAACATAGTAACTAACCTATTATCGACAAATTAAAATTCACATATAAATTAAGATATTTACTATGTTGACGTCTATATAACTTAAATTCAATACCGAATTGAGAATAATTTAAAAAGGCACGTTAACAAGTTGATGTTTGGTATGTCGAAAAGGTTTTTTGTGGTTAAAAATCTACTACATGTTTTACTTAAGAGGAATCATAGAGATAATCAAATTACGTAACAAGAGTAACGCACACCAGTTCCAGTGTGTAGGAAGCTAACTCAAATCATTGTTTATCTCTCACGGTTTTGCCACGGATTGGTGCTCTACTTTTAAGTACTAAGTATTCTTTATACTATTATTTTTTTAGTTCAAAGACGTTCCACTCTTTTTTCTGAAATCAACCAAGGAAAATTACGGAATAAAGGCTATCTACCATCTTAAAGCCAGGAAATGAAAGAAACAATTCATGACCTTGCTAGTTGTAATAACTTGCCTTAACTAGGCAAGCGTAGTAGTACTACAAAAATTAAATTGCATCCCTTGTCGTACCAAGAATGCCTAAAACCAAAAGTTCTCAACAAGTTTTACAGCCTAGAAGGTGTCACAGCAAATATATAGAAGTAATTAAATTTAAGTTGTACTCACAATATTGTCAAGTCTGTCTAGTCTAGAGAGTATTGGTTCTTCCACAGTTGCCATTTCCTTCTCCTTTCTTTTAACTCCTGCTTTCTTTCTCCTTGTCTTACTTTGTGTTGTGTGTTAAAAACTCGCGGGAGCAAAAGGGGTTTTAGTAGTGGTTTTAGGCGGCGAGAGCAAAGGGAGGGAGGGGATACGTGGGAGGATGCAAGAAGAGCAACTGGCACTTGACACGTTACATATTTTAATATGTCTTGATGAGGCATTATGATGATGTTCTATGTTGTGTTGACACGTCGAGGTTGCATGCAGTGGATATGGATGAAATTCACGTTTTTGTGTCAGGTTATCCATTCGTGCCATTGGATTCCTAAGAGTAACCACGAAACTTCCAAATCAACAACTCAGTGCTCATTGGTTTGTCTTTTTTTTTTTTTTTTTTTTTTTTTTCCAAAGCTCATTGGTTTGTCGACGTGAGCCAAATCAGCGTTATAGGGCGAGCATTGTTCTTATCACGTATGAAACCAGGGTCCAGGCTGCCAAGAATAAATATTGTTTTTTTCCCTCGTATGCGTCTACTAAAAAATATGAATTAATTTACGGATAAATTTTGTAACTAAACAAAAAAATTCCTCGTTAATTTCAGTTAATGACGAATTAATAATATATTATCAAAACTTTTTATTAGATACGAGTGATTCAAATGACGATGAAGTTGATAATTAATTTTAGATTTTTTTAGTGTCATAGTACAAGAATCCGGACTAGTCTAATATACTTGTTCCGTTTTACATTTTGTACACTCCTTTGAGATAGGCAATTCGCAAGTTGATTTCTTTCTCTTAAGTATGTAAAACTAGGAAGTGACTAAACTGATGATTGACTTCTTTTACGAAATAAACAGATCATAAAGCTCGACAAATACAACTTCATATTGACACGTTTAGACTTAAACCGTCGTATATAACGGTAGCAGAGTGGTTAAGAGAAAACAGTTATCCACCAATATTATCCATTAAAAAATGGGTTGGATAATAAACTTTTTAGCAAATATGGATAAAACCCATATTGTCCACTGTTGATCCAAGTGAAGTTTGTTTTGAAGGTTGACAAAGGAACTCAAGCATGAACCAGGTCCATCCATAGTGTACACAGACACGGGCAAATTCAAGCATAAGGGATGCACGTGAGGGAGATAAGCTTAGCTTGTTATATCTGAAATCTCCTGATCGAAAAGGTTGGATAATTGATAAGGAGAAGGACTCTTTACTCAAAGAGAACACTACCCAAGATAAGGAAGGAGTTAGAGTTGAAGTTAACTAGAACTCTTCCACCAAGGAAGAGTATAGCATTGGAACTCTAGTTATTTCCTACTCTACTAAGTCTATATATTTCAGGATATTCTCACTTTACAGACACGCACAAAAGCTGAAGTTAAACGTGAATTCAGAGCAAAATAAAGGCATTTTGCAAGCATTTCTTATGTGATTCAAGTGTGAGATCCTGAAGCTACACGAACTAGATAGAAGAACCAGTTCCGGTTGCTTGTCTTTTGTTCTAGTTAAATTATAGTAGGTGTTGTCAAATTGTACCTTTCAGCTTTATCTAAAAGCAATTGTATTAGGTACTCTGAGTATTCAAGTTAGAGTTAACTTGAAGTTGTCGCAACAGTTAGAGGTTGGTTGCCACAACAGGAGTAGAGGTAATCCTTAGGTTTACAAAGAGTTTTTGTAAATGCTGTTTTGGCTCAGTGATTTAGTAAAGTGTTGAGGAAACCCCTACTGAGTAGTAGGTCATGGTTTTTTACGTTTTGAATCGTTTTCTACGTAAAAATACTTGTGTTATTTACTTTCCGCATTTATTATTTCCCAATTAGTAGTATATGGAACACATAGAAGAACTAGGTCCTTCTATAATCTCTGCACGCGAAAATTGGACATCACACAAATGACCCCCCTCTTGTGTGGCATTGAAGTATAAAACATCAATTGGTATCAGAGCGGGTTATCCTTGAAGAGGCTAACACCTTAGGAGAAGATCAACATAGGAGAAGATCAACATAGGAGAAGATCAACATGAGTGCACCACCTGAAAACTGGGAAGGGCAATCCACTGCTAGGCCACTGATCTCGTCCAAGTCACACTTGCCAAAGTAAAACCCAACAAAGAGTTGGGGTCAATTTTCCACAGGGAGCTATGGATGTGAGTTAGGAGTATATATTGTAGTGTATGAGCTTGAACTATCTCAATTTACACTTCCACAAGTTTGAGTTGTTTTTATGTCTATTTTAAACTAAAATTGCAAGATTAAGAAATGAAACTAAGAAATTATTTTTGTTGTTTTGCAAGTTTTGTAAAAAGCCTAAGGCTATGACCATCACCCAGGTGTTTGCCTAATGATTTTATATAAACTTAATGCTTTTTTTGTTGGTCGGGGTGTATTATAGCTATCAACACTCAATTAGCCACTCAATACCTCTCAGTTAGAGAGTGATTTTTCTCAATTTGGCTTTCTCAAGTCCAAATGGGCATTGCAGAAAACGGTTTATAAAAGCTCAAGTTGGGTTATTACTATTCTAGGTTGAACCCTTTAATTGGGATTATCAATCTCTCGATTGACCCAATTTCTTGTTAGCCAAGTTTTCCTAGATTAAGTCTCTCTTTCTGAAGTAGAGACTAAGTCAAATAGGCATGAACTAATGTTTGCAACCATTAATTCTAAAAATTAAAGCATGAACAAGGCTAAATAATAAACACTCAACCATAAAGAAGTACTAAATTAGACACCCATAAGGTTTACACACTAGGGTTGGGTCACAACCTAGTAAAAATCTAGCTACTCATGCTTGAAATTGAAGAAATAGAAGATGAGATGCTAATTAAACTCATATTGCAAACTCAAAATGATAAAATCTATGTTAAAGTATCCAAAAATATGAAAAACTACTAAAAGAAGTAAGGAGAAACGACTACTGTAGCTGTTGATGTCAAAAGTTGACCTAAAAAAGTAAAACTCGTCTATTTATACAGAGCTGGAAATTTTGGACAAAAATGCTCTTCAGGAGGTTCTGTTGCCGCACAATTCCATGTGCGATCCGCATAATTCTTCAACTTGTTAGGAACTAGAAGTCTGCGGCCAAGTAATTCTGATCTGCGGCCGCAAGGCACTCTTTCTGTGGTCCGCAGATTTGTAACTGCGGCTGCATCTTGCTCTTCTGCGGTCCGCAGTTTTACATCTTCGGCCCCACAATCCTTGTGCGGTCTGCAATTTTGATGGAGTTGGAATGCACATTCTCTGAACTTTGCTCCTGGCTCAAATTTTTCGGCCGCACATTGCACCTTTCTGTACTGAACTTTCCTTCATACTCTACGGCCGCAGATGATGTTCTGCGGCCCGCACTTCTGAGCTTATGTGCCTTTTGTATCCTTGAGTTCAGATTACTCCTTCTTGAGTTGGATTTCATCTCGGGAGTTCATCTTCCAATATTTCTTCAATTAAGCATATTTCATCAGTTTTCGGGAGCACAATTAAATGCTTTTAGACTAAAGCAAAAGCTAAAAGGCGCTAATAAGTAGTCAAAATCCCCACTTATCAACTCCCCCAAACTTAAGTCTTTGCTTGTCCTCAAGCAAATAAAATAGTTCCCACCTCCAAAAGTTAAAGGACATTATAGCTAGCCGCGGGTGAATCATTCACACCTCAGTTGGGACCAACAATTAACCACACCACTCATGCATTATTGACAAGGCAGCAAGTCAAACATTTATGCACATATAGCTCTAATGTGACATTCGAGCATCAAGGGTTAACTTAGCTCATCAAAGACTTTCGCTCTAACTTATAGGCCATGGTGGATCCCAAATTCCTCCTCCTCTTCTCTCCATTTTCCAAGCTCACTTAAGAATTTAGCACTCAATTCAAACATTTACGAAAGGTTCACTCATCTCTCTCAAGAGAATGTCACAAGTACGGCTTCCGGTACCATAAGCTTGCCCCTCGTGTAAATCACCACTAATGTAACTCACTCGACTCGAAATCAAGTAGGGCTTTTTTCGGGATGTAATGAAGGCTTTAGGATTAGGGATTTATACAATATGGATAAGTGGTTACACCTTCCTTAGGAACTCAATCTTTCAATTCTCGGCTCACACTTTACCGATTCCTTGAGGCACTTTCTTTTCCTTGGGGGACTAGAGAGACTTAACATCACTTTTTATTGATCATTTCGTTCATATTCTCAATGTTTGGGATCATTGCCTTTCTTTGAATCCCTTCAACTCTTTCATTTATTCACTTTTTTGCATTCTTTTTTTTGTTCTTTTCTTTTTTGTGCCTTTCCTTCTCGTCATTTCTTTTTCTCTTTTTTAATACCTTCTTTTTTCCTCGTCTCTCCCCCAAACTTAATTTTTTAGCCAATTATTTTACATGAGTGTTAAGGAAAGCTCGGGTTTCAAGAGAGGGTCACTATAGAACGGATGCCAAGAAAAGCTAGTAACATGGCTTCCAAATGAGAAAGGCTAAAGGTTTGAAAGGGTTGACTAGGGATGACATTGCTGGTAGGAAATAGGAAACTCAAACGGGCCAAGGAAAGCCTACAATCATTTCTCAAGCCAAACAAAATTTATGATTTTGCCTTAAAACACATTCGGGACAAGTTCTAGACCTTCCGCACAAGTACTCGGACTAGTAACAAAGCATCTCACCCCTCACGCAACTAGATAGTTAAAGAGGATAGAGTTGAGGGACCACAACGACCACATTCAAGATTGAAGATCACTATGGTCCAATTAGACCACTCAATGGTATCAAAGTCAACACAAGAGTCACAAAGTCACTAACTAGAGCTATTTCCTTTTTTAAATCCTTGTCTCTAAACATAAATACATAGTGAAATGTGTTGGTGCTAAATGAAGCCTCTTCAAGTTTGACTTAATCAGGTTTTTTTTATTCATTATTACTACTATTACTACCTAGACACCAAAGACGAACTCAATCCCTTAAGAAGGTTGTCACACCATCCATCGTTGGGAAGAGTCACCCGGTTCACACAAAACTAGCTTTGGAAAGAACCGTGGCATTAAGAAAAGCAAAGGCTTATTGTCCACTAAAACATAAAAAGAAGCTACTAAGTAAAAAAGAAGCTAT